GGAAAGTGTTCCAAAATGAGGTTTAAAATTGAAATTGTTTCAGCAAAGAAAAATGTTCATTTACTACCGTAAGTTCAAATAATTTAAATGAAAGGATTATAAAATAGCAAAATACAATTTACAGAGTACATCATTACTTCAAGGGTTCTAGTCTAGATTCTGTATGGGGCAAGGGCGTGTTGACACTAATTTCTAGTGTCAATAGATAATACTCGCTCATTTAAAGTTTCTTTGGTGCTCCGTCCACAAAATTGATGGTTCTACCCCCATAACTTTCTCTCTAAACACCCCACCATACTCCACTCAAGTTTGACCCCTGCACCCTAGACCTCCCCTTTTACTCCCCTCAAAATGTGTGCCTATTATGTATACATAATGGCCAGACATTTGGAGAGGGTAAAAGGGGATCTAGGGTGGAAGTGCAAGGGTCGAACTTGGGTGGGGGTGGGGTTTAGGAAGGGTTTAGGGCAAATATGAATCATTAATTTTTATTTGAACCTTACCCTTCTATTTCATCCATTATTTATAGCAAAGTTATAAACCATTATTTGGTGGAGACGACCATTATTTATAGCAAATATGAATCATTAATTAAGATAGAGCTTCCCCATGTACTAAGTGTAGACTCTACCCTTTACCACTAAAATGTTATTAAAACATAATTTACTTCTTCTAGTGAAAATTTATTTTTAAAAAACTAGTTGGTAGTGAGGTTTGAACTCGTAACCTCTTACTCATCAAGACTCTTATACTATGTTAAGGAACCAACTTAACCAAAAAAGCTCAAACTTTTGGTTGAACGACTAGGATATGTTTTACTCTAACAAATATGTTGACATTATTGGTATTCTAACTCCTATTTTAGAAATAAATCACGGAGCTCTTATTTTGGTACTTACTCTATGTTCTACTCATAGTTTAATCTTTTTTCGTAACCTCACTCAGAAAACTCGGGTCAACATGCGTGATCGGCTCCAATACCGAGCATAACATTTTTTTAAAATAAAATGTCAAGTATTGTGTAACTAGTTCTGTTCTGTTTAAGACTCGTATTGTTAAAATAAATATATAATAATTTTATATTTATAATTTCACATAATCTAAGCACAATTGAAAGAATCATCTCCATCCATTCATAGACATATCCAGCTATTCATGACCATTAGGGGTGTTTAATTGGATTGATCTGATCCAAAGTTTTAGATATTCAACAATTTTGGATCAAGAAAATTCATTGCATATCCGATTTAAAAAATCTTTGAATATTTGAGGTATGAATATTCGAAATTTCAGATCAGATAAATGCAATATCCGAAATATTTTGCTAAATTTTGTATCTAATACTTGCAAAACCACACATCTCAACTCAAAAATAAAAATAAAAGCACACTTATGCAGAATAAAGTTGCAATAGCTAAAAAGCATGCACTTTAGATATTTATTTAAAAAACATATGCTTTTCGGATATTCATGGATGGATCGGATTTTTCGAGTAAGGTATTCCTGAATATAGGGGTGAGTGGTGATGGATTCTAAGGATGGGAGTAGTACAAACTATAGAAAGATGAAAGTTTGTAATATGAATTGAATAACTCGGAATCCATACCCCCACCCTTTGGGTGGGGGTCTTATACACTCGATTTTGGACCGGTACCCCCATGTTCTCAGTCAAAGAGGCCCATGGGCTCTCTTAATCACATTTGTCCAATTCCTATGATACATGACTTTCTGCCAGCCCTCTTTGACCGTGCCCAAGGACGGGTCACCCTTTGATGACGTTCCCCCGCTCTGGTCATTAGCACCTACGATTCCCTAGTGGTTGACTCCCTTATCAGACATGAGATGCCGAGGGGCCCCGGTAGGACGAGTTTGACACCATCCGATTGATCGGGTGGAGTTGGGTGCCCAAGGCACAAGCACAACACTACAAAGGTTAGGTCGAGCGGGATTTAAATGGGCCAAGCGTGGTGATTCCATGTGATGGACGAGCTGATCCTTATAGGCATGGGGGTGATCCTTATAGGCATGGGGGACAAGCCTATGTCTCCATCAAGAGTCCCCCGCTCCCTGAGGCAAGACTCTTGAGGCAAAAGAAAGTGTCCTTTTAATATGGGCGAGGCGAAGTCACATCTTGTAACCCGCCCCAGCCTTTTTGGCAAAAGACGAGCTAGATTGCAAATTTTCACGCGTATTTCTAAGGGATCTCAACAGTCGCCCTTGAGCAACTGAAAGGTCAGTTTAATGTTAGACATATCAGTTTCATCATTGTGTTTTTTATTTCCTTTTCTTTTCCTCTCCAATTTATTTCACAGCCATCGTCTATCCTTCTTCTTGTATATTTTGCTGCTTGACCCACCGCTACCGTATGTGACTGCCGTTTTTCCTGTGAATTTCTCAGAGATTCTCGCCTCTGCAAAGGTTATCTTTCTTTTCCATTCTCTTCATATATTTTGGTTCATTTACTCCTAAACTTCTGGTGTGGGACTTAGAGGAATCCCAACAAACTTCCACTCAACCAAGGACCACAAAACTTCCAACTCCGCACCAGCGGTAATCAATTTTTTACTTTATCTGCTAACCTTCTTGCACCGCCGCTACACTCTTTGCGGGATACGCCACCTGACCTCCTGTCGGGAAGACTTTCGACGCAAGGGTTTTACCGCAGATCTTTCCTTCGCTGGGCTACACCTTTTGATCCGCCAAATTATCTTGTTCCGCCGTGGATGCCAACTTCGCGGGACACGCCGCCCGACCTTCTCTCGTCGGGAAGACTTTTGATGTAAGGCACCACCTGCGGATTCTCTTTCTTGGTCTTGGTCCTATTTTTGCACCGTCACACTAAGATTTTCTCACATTGCACAGTCCGCTGCTCGCGCTCGCAAGAACCTGGGCTCCGATACCACATGTTGGGACCATACGTGTATGCCCTTACCCTTACTCCGCAATAGTATGATATTGTCTGCTCTGGGCCAAGCCCTCACGGATTTGTTTTTGGGCACTTCCCAAAAGGCCTCATACTAATGATGTTGGGTCAACCTATATATTTTGATTCATTAACTCCTAAACTTCTGGTGTGGGGCTTGAAGGAATCCCAACATGAAGAAGCATCAAAATTGCCAATTCTTTTAATGCAGATTTTGAAACCTAAGCAATATGGTGGTATGAGTTTTGTATACTTCATTAGTACAGATTAAGTATTAAACACAAACTTTGACATGTAATGTAGTTTTCACAAATTGTACCAGTAATGTAGTTTTTAAATAAGTTTTCCAAAATTTGTAATTTATAAGTTATTTATGTTTTAAAATAATGAAAAACTTTATATTTTATTATATGGTCTATTTGTTTCCGTCAATAATGACATTAATATATATTCATAACGTAAATACGAGATGTACAACGTTGAGGTGCGATACTAGTATTAAAGATATCTCAACTAAAACTCTAAGGGGGTGTTTGTTTTTTTTGGTGAGAAGAGCTTCTAACCACTTATGTCTGCACCGTGCAGACGCTGGAAGACACTAGGGACGCGCAGACTTTTTGTTTTTTAGAAGACAAACAACTTAAAAACGTCTTCCAAACATCTTCATCAAGCAGACATAAACTAACAGCTTCTCACGTCTTCTCATCAATTACGATCCATCTCAAAACATACCCATCTGCCTCCCTTCCCGATCTCTCTGTCTGGCCCTGTGCGTGACCCTCTACTGCTGGAGTCTCCACCATTGCCGGCGACTCATCTCTCCCTCTACCGGCTTTTCCTCATCATCCCCAGCCATCCGCCGTCCGTCTCCCTCGTCCCAGCTGTCCGCCGTCCGCCGTCCGTCTCCCTCCTCCCCAGCCGTTCGTCTCCCTCCTCTGGCTTCTCTCCATCCCTGTCGGTGACGCCTCCTCCTTCTCCTAATCCCCGCCGGCTTCTTCTCATCCCTGCTGTCCATCTTCTCCGATTCTCATCCCTGCTGTCCATCTTCTCCGATTCTCATCCCTGCAGCAACAAGTAAGTTTTTTCACTTTGTTTTGTTTTTGTTAATGTTTTTTTAACAATTTTTTTTACTTTTTGTTGTTGTTAACAATTTGTACAATAGTCTATGTTTTTTTTACATTTTTTACATTCTTGTTATTACGGAATAGAGTAGTTGAGTAATCAAAGTAAACAGAAAATGTAAAGGCACACAGATTTAACGTGGTTCACCAACGTTGTGTTGGCTACGTCCACAAGCAAGAACAGAGGTTCCAGAGTACAGAGTTTTTGTGCCCTAATCTGCGTAGCGGGCATTTATTAGAGGTTATGAGGAGTAAGGTTCATCAATTTTATGAATAGAGCACCATATGATGGTAGTGGCTTCTTTGGTCACTGAAAACCAGTGGCCATGGAACTCAGCCAATACATTTTAAATAAATGAACTAATTTTACATTTTACTTTGTTATTTTTTAAACATTTCAAATTATTAATTTGTTGGAGTGACTTTAACAAACTTATACCTTGTTCTTCTTAACTTCAACACAATACAGATTCAAGGTATATTAACAAATCTCATCCCTCCCGGCAACAATTTATACAATGTTTTTCTTACATTTTTAATCTCTTTTTTTATTCGATAGTCAACAATTTATTTGAAAAATTGTTCTTTTTGTTATTTTTTAAAAAAATGTTATTGTTCTTATTTCAGTATTGTAGAACTCTTATTTAAATTTAAATGTTAAAAAAATATTGATTGCTTTAAAAATCTATTTATTTTAAATTTCAATTTATTTAAGCAATCTGCAGAAGTTAAAAAACAAATAGTCTTCCTCCTCTTCTTCTCTTGCAGATGTGTGCAAATGTCATCTGGAGATCCTTTTTTGCAGAAAAAACAAAGGATGTACACAAAAAACAAACAAAGAGGCAAGTGTTTGTCAATGGGGCATAAACACTTGTGCCCCCCTTTGGGTACAATTTGGGTCTTTTTGGGGTAGAAATTAAGGTACTCCTCATTTTTATAATTTGAAAATTCGAACACTCTAATGTGTCACAAAAGACAAAAAGGAAAAGGAGAGACCCCCAGGCGCGCTGCACAACACCTGAACCCAGCCTCAGGTCTATTATGATGTGCGTTCCTCTATCCTCGCCATTCCGGAAATTTCCACTGCAGCAGCTTAACCTCCTCTTTTGTTTGTTTCCTTCCTCTTATGCAGAGTGCAGACATTGTTAGACCTCTACCTCATCCAATCTGCCTTTTTCAGGTATACCGTCAAATGTATTTGCTTCTCGCTGTGTACAGTGTATTAACCAGAAATCTCCATCTTACAAATTGCGTATGAAAATCATGAAGGACCGGGGACGAAAGCGACGGTTTTGTACTTTTTTTTTGAGGTTTTTCCCGTTTCAGAAGCTTTCTAGTGCCCAGTTTGGTATCCATTTTCTTCCAAACGCTGTTTTTTTGTGTACGAGCATGCTGAGTCGTTTAATAATGGAAAAAAAGTTGGTCTACTGGAGGAACTTTTGGTCGATTTTTAAAACCTAATGCGTATGTAGTAGGTTTAAGATTCTCCGATCCTTGCATTTGAACACTGAAATAGGGTGTATCGATTTTTGATGTGGGTGTTTTGTCTGATTTAGTAACTATGTGCTGAAAATCTTGCTGCCTATAAACCTGCTCTTGATTTTTTTATTTTTCCTGAAGGTTTAAATCCAATCCATCCATTTATATCCTATGCATGTATTTCTGAAAGCTAGTTAATGGTTTTAGTGAAGAGATTTTCATGATTTTAGCGAAGAATAATTGTGTAATGCCATTGGTGGAGTATTTTTCCATTTATGTGATAGTACTATTTGGAAATTCTATGCTGTAGTCTTGGCTCATTAACTCCATTCTTCAGTTCCTTGTGAGGACTAAGGAGTGTCATGGCTGTTGTTGGTGGGAGGGTTTCTCAAGGTTTTCCTGACTTTGGTGCGATCTTCATGTGTAACAAAAGAACAAAGGATGAGTGTTTCGGTAGGGGGATCTTTGGACTTCCGCTTTCATTTGCTAATTTTGTGAATCATGTCAAAGCTGGAATGCTTTTGTTTCTGTTTGAATATGAGGGGCGAAACCTTTATGGAGTTTTCGAGGCTACCTCAGATGGCAGAATGAATATTAAGCCTCGCGCTTATTGTTCATCTGGGAAGTCTTTTCCTGCACAGGTAACAAGTGTTCGCGCGTCAAAATTCAACTGCAAAACACTCTTAAATGATTGTCCGTTGTTTCTTCAGGTTTGCTTTCGTGTTGTTTGGAGATGTCATCCCCTGCCTGAGCATACTTTTCGTGATGCTATTAGGGACAATTACTACTCAGCTAACAAGTTTAGTTTTGGTTTGTCTAAGAAACAGGTCAGTGTCTACTTCAACTTGAACAAAAGCTTGTAATGTTGTCAAAGAATTTACTTGTCTGCACATCCTTGTTTCACTGTCGGGTTTGATTCATACCAATCTTTTCTATGCCCTATTACGTACGATAATATGTTGTCACTCTTTGCTCCTTGCACTTTCTGTTAAATCGTAAAGTGAACTGAATGGACCATCAAATTTACATAAAAGTAGCTTTGAAAATTTACTGCTTCTGAGTTGTCAGGTTGAAAGGCTTGTATGGTTGTTTCAATCTAGAAGAAGGATCAAAGTTGAAAAGTATCCAAAGGTCAAGGATCTGAAGAAGCTATCCACCAAATCTTCTAAAAAGATGAATGCTGTTGGTGCAGGTGCTCTAGAAAAAGAAACTAATTCTGAGATTGAATCTGTTTTACAATTTCAGTTAACCTCTCACGCCTTTGTCTAACACACAGTATTGTGGCTTTCAAACATGGATTAACAGCGCAAACTGATCAGAATACTTCATCAGGAAGTGGTAGCGTTGAGTTGCAGGGAGAAGTGGAATGCAAGAATACTTCAACTGATTCATATTTACTGGAAGATTACATACCATTATCTGATCCGGAACATAGTGACCCTGCAAACGCTGTATGTCTACGAAATGCTGATTCGAGTGAAGGAAAGGACCAGAATGACCATGAGCTTTGCCACAAAGTGAAGAGCATGTACTGTGACACCGTGCAGGAAAGGCCTAGTGTATTCTCTAGGTTGCAATACGGTGCCAGAGCTTTTTCTCAAGTCCAGGAAGAAAACATTCACACAAAATTGGAGTTGAAGTATTCATTGTCTGAACAAGAAGGCGGTCAAATGACATCTGAGCCCCATCCTCATCCTGTGCAAACAGTAATGAAGGCATTGGAGACGCTACATGAAAAGTGGACCAGTAAAAATGCAACTACAAGGCTGACGAAGAAGAAGAAAAAGAAGAAGACCAGCGTGTTTTCCCGCATTAATTTTCTTCCACAAGTCCCTGTGATGCCTAACGTGGAGGTGAACAAAGTCCCTTGCACGGACAATGCATCCAATGGATTCTATACGGTAGAAGCAAAAGAGACGACTAAAAAGAGAAGTCGCCAAGTGTGTATCCTAGACAACGGAGATGGTAACAACACAGTTGTGACAATCCAAGTAAATGATTCACCAAGGCCGGTAATAGTGAAGCCATCATCTCCGAGTCTGGACTGCAACCAAGTGTTTGGAATGCCTTTTCCGGAAAGTCAGCACAAAAAGATGAAATTATGTGTTCAGTAATTTCTCCATTGTTGCATCAGTTGCATGCTGTGTTTTTCTGCTAGGATTTGAGGTTGAAAGACCAGACTGTTAGCTGCTAGAACTACAAGCCCTTGCCTAACAGTAAGTGCTAAAACAATTCAAAAGGGTATCTAAATCAAATGCTAGAGAACCTCTTCAGTGCCAAAGCTCTTCTGCACCCTCCTCCCTACATGGGGTGAGTGATTATTACTCTTGAGGTGCATACTCCATCCCACATCGGAAAAGGATAACAATAAAACCTCACGGCTAGAATATTTCCTACTCCTTTAAAGAATTTAACCACTTACTTTTTAATGTTCTTATCATTTTATACTTTTTAAATTTTCAAGAAGACAAAATAATCAACTTTTTATGTGTGAATAATGTGATTAAGTATTATTTAATCACATGTAAATTATGAAACAAGTTTTAACCTGTACCGATATAATTTTGAACATTTCAGTTCAACATTTATTTTTTGTTGTGCCGATCCGGAAATATTAGTCCAGGATTGGTGGTTCATTATCTCTTCTGTTACAAATATGGATAAATACGTACTCCCTCCGTCCTATAACAACCTTCTCGGTTTGACTAAAACCCATTTTTAAGGAATGGATAAATATGATTTTGACTCCCAAAAATGCCCCTCCATCTAAACAAAAAAACACAGTTACAGAATCCAAATGCACCGAAAGAAGATCTTTGAACAATTGGATCAAATCATATCAACCACCCCTAATTGCGTAGGTTGATCTTCCCAATTTGTAATTGATTTCTCTTCCTATACAAATTTTCTTATAATACCCCATGTATACCTCCTCCCACCACGACATCAGGAGACATACTGTTGGTGATTTTAGTGTCATTAATTTATTTTGTGTAATTGGATTTACTTCGATCGGACAAGAATTTAAATAGACGTTGTCAAACGAGTTAGGAGGCGTGGAGTGCGCGCTCGTTCAACGATATTATAAATTCACTGCGGGGTCCGGGGGCGGCAGCCCCCAGGATAGCGGGGGTCTAGGGGAGGCAGCCCCCGGGTAGCGGGGTCCAAGGGGCAGAGCCCCTGGCCGGGGTCCCGGGACAGCTTGGAAATTTTTTATTTCGGACGTTGTTTCTTTAAGAAAATCCTTAAGATTTTCGTGATCGGAGTCCAAAACGGTAAAGGACTCGTACACAATGGATAAACGTCGAAATTGAGCCTTAAACCGCATAAGACCTTTCGTTCAAACTCGCACCTCTCTTCTTCCTCGCGCGAACGTACGCGTACATCTACGTGAACGTTCATGTCCGATCACAAGGATTTTCGACTCTATAAAATAGAGTCTCGTGGTATGGGTTGAGGTATCGGATTCTTGAGTGCTAGTTCTTGATTAACGTCTTATCCGATTGAAGTATTTCGTATACCCCGAAATAACTTTGATCTGATAGCGTTTCGTACGCGATTCGTTATACTATCGAGTTCTTTTCTAAACACTGCTTCGCAGTGTTCTTCCTCCTTAAAATCGAACAAAGATCAAAATTATTCCTAAAGAACTCAAAGATGAGGTGTGGCGATTCCGTAAGAGATTTGAGCAGCAAGTTCTCGAAGTTAGAAAAGTTCGAAGGCCAGGACTTCCGTCGATGGCAGAAGAAGATGCACTTCCTTCTCACAACATTGAAGGTCGTGTATGTACTGAGCACGCCTATGCCGCAGATCATGGATGACGATACACTAGAACAAACGAGGAAGCGGTGCAAGTGGGAGAACGATGACTACATTTGTCGAGGACATATTCTAAACGGTATGTCTGACTCTTTGTTTGATGTATATCAAAATGTTGAATCTGCAAAGTTACTGTGGGACGGTCTAGAAGAAAAATACATGGCCGAGGACGCTTCGAGCAAGAAGTTCCTCGTCAATAACTTTAACAATTATAAGATGGTCGACTCTCGACCGGTCATGGAACAATACAATGAACTGTTGAGGATCCTGGGCCAGTTTGCACAACATAACATGGCAATGGATGAATCCATATCTGTGTCCAGTATTATAGACAAACTGCCTCCTTCGTGGAAAGAATGCAAACGTGAGTTAAAGCATAACAAGGAGGAAATGAATCTTGTGCAACTTGGAACTCATCTTGGGATTGAGGAGTCCATCCGAGATCAGGAGGGAAAGAAGGTGAAGGACATAGCCGGTCCTTTGTCCATCAACATGGTCGAAGACGAAGGTTTCACCAAAGTGAAGAATAAGTCTAAGGGTAAAAAGCGCAAGTCCGGAAATACACCCAAACCTGCAAATAAAAAGGCAAAAATGGGTTGTTGGAAGTGTGGGAAACCAGGCCACTTCAAGAAGGATTGTCAGATTGGCAAGCGGGACAAGGATACAAGTAAGAGTGGTTCCGATCAAGGAGCCAAGGACTAAAACAAATCAGAAGGTCAGATTATTCCACTCATCAATGATTCGGTTAAGAATTATGTTTCAATTATATCTGATGCATTTTATGTGCATGATGATGACATCTCTTGGTGGGTTGATTCGGGGGCAACATGTCACGTGTGCAAGGACAAAAGATGGTTTAGTTCGTTGGAATCAATGGACTATGGATCAGTGTTGCGCATGGGAAACATAGCCACCGAACCTGTCAAGGGAATTGGAATAGTAAAACTTGTATTCACTTCCGGCAATAGTGTACTCTTAGATAATGTATTATATGTACCAAGTCTTCGTAAAAATCTTATATCGGGGATTGTATTAAATAACCATGGATATAAACAAGTATTGGAAAGTAATAAATATATTTTATCTAGACATGGTGGCTTTGTAGGTTTTGGTTATTTATGAAATGGCATGTTTAAATTAAGTTTGAATGTTCCTTTTGGCATGAATGATGTTTGTATGACGACTACATGTGATGCCTTAAACAAATCTGTTTTATGGCATGCTCGTTTAGGTCATGTGCATTATAAAAGATTACAAGATATGTCCAAAAGTAACTTAATTTCTTCCTTTGACATAAACCAAGACAAATGTAAGACATGTATGTTAACCAAGATAACTAGAAAACCGTTTAAAGAAATCAAAAGGGATTCTAGTATACTTGAACTCGCTAATAGTGACTTGTGCGATTTTCATGCAACTCCATTTATAGGAAATAAAAAGTACATGATCACTTTTATAGATGATGCCTCTAGGTTTTGTTATGTATATCTTTTACATGCTAAGGATCAAGCATTGGAAATTTTTAAAGTGTACAAAACCGAGGTAGAATTGCATAAAAATAACTTGGTTAAAATTCTTCGGACAGATAGGGGAGGAGAATATTTTGATCCAGTTTATTTTCAATCTGTTGGTATAATTCATGAGACCACTGCTCCCTATACACCACAACAAAATGGTGTAGCCGAGCGAAAGAATAGGACCTTAAAAGAAATGGTAAACTCTATGTTGTCTTACTCGGGTTTGAGTGAAGGATTTTGGGGAGAGGCTATGTTAACAGCCTGCTATTTGTTAAATAGAGTTCCTAACAAAAGGAGCAAAATTACCCCTTATGAAATTTGGTATGGGAAGCCACCAAACTTGAATCATTTAAAAGTTTGGGGTTGTAGGGCGGTTGTAAGACTCCCAGAACCTAAGAGGAAAACCTTGGGTGAAAAAGGCATTGATTGCAATTTTATTGGATATGCTCAGCATTCTAAGGCTTATAGATTCTACGTTATAGAATCTAATGACTCGGTGGGAGTAAACACCGTGATCGAGTCAAGGGATGCAATCTTCGATGAAAATAGGTTTTCATCAATACCTAGACCAAGAGATATGGTTCTAGGTGATTCAGCTATACCAAACCAAGAGGACTCTAGTAGAGACATAGTTTCTACTAATGAGTCCCTCGTTCCTACGGAAATTAGGAGAAGCAAAAGACGTAGTGTTGCCAAATCCTTTGGCTCAGATTTTCAATTATATTTAATTGAAGGTTCTAGGGATGAAATTTTATTTCAATATAAATATTGTTATAATATTGAAGCCGATCCTAGAACATATAATGAAGCTATGGCTTCAAGGGACGTGGCGTTTTGGAAAGAGGCTATTCAAGATGAGATGGACTCTATCTTGCATAACAACACTTGGAAATTAACTAACTTACCTCTTGGATGCAAACCTTTAGGATGTAAGTGGACCTTCATGAAGAAGATGAAAGTAGAGGGTTCGATCGATAAGTTTAAAGCAAGGTTAGTGATACAAGGCTTTAGACAAAAAGAGGGAATTGACTACTTTGATACCTATGCCCCTGTTGCAAGAATTTCAACCATTAGGTTGTTGATTGCTCTAGCGGCTATACACAATCTTGTGACTCACCAAATGGATGTGAAAACAGCTTTCTTAAATGGTGAACTAGAAGAGGAAATCTACATGAAACAACCCGAAGGGTTTGTTATGCCAGGAAATGAGCATAAAGTGTGTAAGCTAGAGAAGTCACTATATGGCTTAAAACAAGCACCAAAACAATGGCATCAAAAGTTTGATGATGTTGTGTTGTCAAATGGCTTTCTTTTAAACCAAACAGACAAGTGTGTTTAGAGCAAATTTGATACTTCAGGTAAAGGAGTTATAATTTGTCCATATGTTGATGACATGTTGATTTTTAGAACCGATCAAAAACAAGTCAATAAAACAAAAGAATTCTTGTCATCACATTTTTCCATGAAGGATCTAGGAGAGGCAGAAGTAATCCTAGGCATTAGGATAAAACGGGTGAACAATGGGATATGCATTACACAGTCTCATTATATTGAGAAAAAATTTGAAGAAATTCAATTTTGAAAATTGTTCTCCGGTTAACACTCCTATGGATCCGAGCATTAAACTTTTGTCCAATCAAGGAAAGGCTGTGTCTCAACTTGAATACTCAAGGGCTATTGGTTGCTTAATGTATGCCATGGTTAGCACAAGACCAGATATAGCATATGCCGTTGGAAAGCTTAGTAGATTTACTAGCAATCCTGGTACACACCATTGGCAAGCTATACGGAGAGTATTCAAGTACTTAAAGAAAACTATGAATTATAGTTTGGTGTATAGTGGAGATCCACCAATTTTTGAAGGATACTCGGATGCAAGTTGGATTACTAATATGGAAGATTTCTCCTTTACTAGTGGATGGGTTTACTTAC